TCTGAAAGATCACAAATTGACAGTCTAATATCACACCTCAAGGAACTAGAAAAACAACAAACTAAACCCAAAGCTACCAAAAGAAAAGAGATAATAAAGATCAAAGCAGAACTAAATGAAATTGAAACAAAAAAATGCAAAAAATAAATTAAACCAAAAGCTGGTTCTCTGAAAACATAAACAAAATTGATATACTATTAGGTAGATTAACCAAGAAAAGAAGAGAGAAAATTCAAATTAACTTCTTTAGAAATAAAACTGGAGGAATTACAATTGACACCACAGAAACACAAATGATCATTTGAGACTACTAACAACACCTCTCTGCACACAAACTAGAAAATCTAGAGGAAATGGATAAATTCCTGGAAACATACAACTCTCCTAGATTAAATCAGGAAGAAATAGGTCCGCTGAACAGACCAATAACAAACAGTAAGATTGAATGAGTAATAAAAAAAAAAAATTGCTAGCAACAAAAAAGCCCAGGGCCAGATGGATTCTAATGTGAATTCTCCCAGACATTAAGAGAATAATTGGTACCAATTCTAATGAAGTATTTCAAAAGATTGAGAAAGAGGTAATCCTCCCTAAAACATTCTATGAAGGCAGTTTCACCCTGATACCAAAACCAGGAAAGGACATTAAAAAAAAGAAACTACAGACCAATATCCCTATAAACATAGATGCAAAAATTGTCAATAAAATACTAGCTAACCAAATCAAACAGCACATCAAAAAGATAAAGCAGGTTAATCAAACCTACCATAATCAAGTTGATTTCATCCCAGGGATGCAGGGATGGTTTAACATATGCAAGTCAATAATTATGACACATCACATAAACAGAATTAAAAACATATGATTATCTCAGTAGATGCAGAAAAAGCATTTGATAAAAGCTAGCATGACTTTGTGATAAAGACTCCCAACAAACTAGGTATAGAAGGAGACTTGCCTCAAAATAATAAAAGCCATATGTAACAAACACACAGTCAACATTCATACTAAATAGGGAAAAGTCAAAAGTATTCCTCTTGAGAAGTGGAACAACCATTTCTTTTTAGTCCATTAGGAAGTCCTAGCCAGAGCAATCAGGCAAGATAAAGAAATAATGGGCAGCTAAGTTGGAAAAGAGGAACTCAAACAATCTGTTCACTGGTGATATGGTCATATACCTAGAAGACCCTAAAGCCTCCTCCAGAAGACTCTTAGATTTAATCAACAAATTTTGTAAAATCCCAAGTTACAAAATAAGTGTATGCAAATCAGTAGCACTGCTATACACTAACAACCACCAATCTAAGGATCACATCAAGAACTCAATCCCTTTTAAAAACAGCCACAAAAAATATAAAATACCTAGGAATATATTTAACTAAGGAGGTGAAAGATCTCTACGAGGAGAACTATAAAACAATGCTGAAGGAAATCATAGATGATACAGACAAATGGAAACACACCCCATGCTCATGGATTGGAAGAATCAATACTGTGAAAAGTCCTGTCAAAATGCCAGCATAATTTTTCACAAAATTAGGAAAAACAATCCTGTAATTTATATGGAACCAACAAAGATCCTGACTAGCCAAAGTAATCCTAAGTAAAAAGGACAAACCTGGAGGCATCACATTACCAGACTTCAAATTATACTACCAGGCTATAATTACCAAAACAGCATAGTAGTGGTATAAAAGTAGGAACATAGACCGATGGAACAGAATAGAGAACACAGAAATAAAGCCAAATACTTAAAACTGACACATCTTTGACAAAACATACAAAAACATAAATTGTGGAAAGGACACCCTATTTAATAAATGGTTCTGGGAAAACTGGTTAGCCACATGAAGAAGAATGAAACTAGATTTCAATCTCTTACCATATACAAAAATCAACTCAAGATGGATGAAGACTTAAATCTAAGACCTGAAACCATAAAAATTCTAGAAGATAACCTTGGAAAAACTCTTAAACTCTTTTGGACAATTGGCCTTGGCAAAGAATTCATAACTAAAACCCCAGAAGCAAATGCAGCAAAAACAAGTAAATGGGACCTAATCAAACTAAAAAGCTTCTGCACAGCAAAAGAAATAATCATCAGAGTAAACAGATAACCTGCAGAATGGGGGATGTATTTATAAACTCTGCATCCGTCAGAGGACTAGTATCATAATCTACAAGGAACTCAAACAGATCAGCAAGAAAACTAGTAACCCCATCAAAAAGTGACCAAATGACGTGATAAGACATTTCTCAGAAGATATGCAAATGTCCAACAAACATGAAAAAAATGCTCAACATTACTAATCATCAGGGAAATGCAAATTAAAACCATAATGATATACCATCTTGCTCCGACAAGAATAGTAAAAAAAAAAAAAATAGATTTTGGCATGGATATGGTGAAAAGAGAAGGATGTGCTTGTAAGTATTTGGCTTATACACTGCTGGTAGGAATGTAAATTAGTACAGTCTCTATGGAAAACAGTATGGAGATTGCTTAACAAACTAAAAATAGGTCTACCATTTGATTCAGCAGTCCCACTGCTGGATATCTACTCAAAAGAAAAGAAGTAATTATATGAAAAAGACACATGCACACATGTTTATTGAAGCACAGTTTACAGTTACAAAGATGCAGAACCAACCTAACTGCCCATCAACCAATGAGTGGATAAAGAAAAAGTGGCATATATACACCATGGAAAAGCACTCAGTCATAAAAAGGAATGAAATAATGTCTTTTGCAGCAATGTGGTTGGAGCTGGAGGTCATTATTCTAAGTGAAGTAACTCAGGAATGGAAGACTAAATACTGTATATTCTCATTTGTAAGTGAGAGCTAAGCTGTGAGTACACAAATGCATACAAAGTGGTAAAATGGACTTTGGAGACTCAGAAGGGGGAGGGTGTGAAGGGAGTGAGGGATAAAAAACTATGTATTGGGTACGGTGTACATTGCTTCAGTGATGAGTGCACCAAAATGTCAGAATTCACCACTATATAATGCATCCATGTAACCAAAAACCACTTGTACCTCAAAATTATAACTAAAAATATTTTAATGGATTTTTAAAATTAACATGAAATTGTATATACTTATTGTGTACAACATGTTTTGAAATACATACATACACAACCCCTTCCAGAATGGTTAAATAAAGCTTATTAACATATACATTACCTCACATAGTTGTCATTTGGTGATGAGAGCACTTACAATCTACTCTTTGAATTTTTCAAGAATACAGTGTATTGTTATTTATTATAGTCACCATGTTGTACAATAGATCTCTGGAACTTATTCTTCCTAACTGAAATTTGTAACCTTTGATCAACATTTTCCCAACTCTTCCCTCATCACTGTCCCACCCCCTGGTAACCACCATAATATCCAGCCATAAAAAAGAGGTAAATACTGTCATTTTCAACAACATGGATGAATCTGGAGAACATTATGTTAAGTGAATAAACCAGACACAGAAAGACAAACACTGTAGGATCTCACTCATATGTGGCATCTAAAAAAGCTGATCTCATGGTCTCTACCTATAAAGACCTCTTTGTTTAATGTGAAAAAGCTGGTATTGTAAGTAAGTATGTTAAGTAAGTTAAATATAAACCATGGGATGTAGCTGTGGGTAGACTGAACCAGAAATTATGCAATGAAGTGGTGGTGAGAAAGCAAGTTGTTACTGCTCCTTCTTCAGGGCCATGGATACTGGCCTTTTCCATGATGACTCTCTGCTACATCATTTAGCTATTCTTCTTACCATGTATTTTTTTTAGAGATGGTGTCTTGCCCAGGCTGGGTCTTGAACTCCAGGGATCAAGCTATCCTCCCACTTCAGCCTCCCAAAATGCTCGATTACAGGTATAAGCCACCATGCCCAGTCATTTTGCCATTCCTTAGATGAAAATATCTGGTAGCTATGCTCCAGCTATCTCAGAAATGAAATCTGGTGAGATGAAAAATAAATTTTATTGTGTACTAAAGACTTTAAGCCATACGGTTAGTTAAAATCTACTGATAGCTGTAATGTTTTAGATTGTTATTTGACTACCATAGGATAAATTGTGATTATTTGGAATCTGTCTGAGAAATTCCAGTATTCTTAATGCAAATTGACTCTGTATTAGTTCATTCTCATGCCACTATAAGGAAATACCCAAGACGGAGTAATTTATAAAGAAAAGAGGTTTAATTGACCACAGTTTCCCCATGGCTGAGGAGGCCTCAGGAAACTTACAATCATGGCAGAAGGCACCTCTTCCTTCACAAGGCAGCAGGAGAGAGAATGATGCAAGCAGGGGAAATGCCAGAGACTTATAAAACCATCAGATCTCGTGAGACTCATTCGCTATCATGAGAACAGCATGGGAGAAACTGCCCCCATGATCCAATTACCTCTACTTGGTCCCACTTTTGACACATGGTGATTATGGGATTACAATTTAAGATGAGATTTTGGGTGGGGTCACTGCCAAACCATATCAGTCTCCAACTAATCTGACCTGAAATTAGCCATTTGTCTGTCCCCTTGCAGCTATCTTATTTTTAGAGACAGGAAAAGAACATTTCTATGACAGCCATTAAATGACTTGGCTGAAATCACCTAGGCCTACTAATCTAGAATTACAGCAAGGGTCATTGTTAAATTTGCCTTGCCAGCACTTGGGCTTAATGGAACTATAAATACAGTAGTATATGGATAGTAAGCCTTGACTAATAGAGAGTTGTACTCCAGAAGATCATCTCATTGTTCTTTCATTAGATGGGAAATCCCATTTGTGATCAATTCCTCATTGTGAGCAAGGAAATATTTGCTCAGAATCTCCTAAGCCTGGTTGCCAGCTGACTAACTGGTCTTCATTCCTTGTCTGCCTTCCTCCTCCTTTTCCTAGTTACTTACATTTCAGTTGTTGTAGTGGAGCTAGCATAGAAATCAACACCAAGACAAAAGTATGCAAATTGCAGGGTCTTTATTGCCAGCGGCCATGGAGGACTCTTGTCTCTCCAACCCATGGCCCCGAAAGGAGAGTGTCAAGACCTTCTATACCCGTAAAAATCACCTTGGGAGTGAGGGTGAGGGATGGGGGTGGGGGTGAGGGGCTTTGGACATTCCGAGGGCCAGAGGACTTTTTGACATTCTGATTGTTACTTAAGTAGTTCACAAAAGTTAAGATTAGCATTTGTTTACACATTGTCTGGGTAGGGTGGTGATTACAGTCCTTACTTACTTATTCACATTTGGGTTATAGAGAGCAGTTTCAACAGAAAGCTGAGGTATGCTTGAGGTATGCAGGTTTCTGGGGCTTTTTACCATGTCACATAGTGTGCTACTTTCTCTTGTTCCATCTTACAGAGTTCATTTTCCATTTTAGTTTCTGCCATTTCCTTGCCTAGAATAATTGCCAATCTTCTGTAGTTGTAACCCCTAAAACCTGAGATTGTATTACATATATTGCATAAGAGCTAAGTTTTTTACCCTGGCATTTGAGTCAAAACTCTAAGCATTATATACTTAAACAGAGGCTTCTACTATTTTGATACTTTTACTACCTTTATACCAAGTAGACTGAGAATTCACCTCACTAGACTATGGCTTTTGTACATTTCTTCTCTACTACCTGTATTAGCCTAGAACATCCAAGAAGATAGCTGAAAGTTCAAAATCTATTTTGGGCACAGACAACTATATCAATGATGCATATGGAATCTCCTTGACATATCATAAGATAAATAACAAAATATAACATTTAATGTGTACTTTTTGTTGTTAGAGGCAGGATCTCCCTCTCTCACTCAGTCTGAAGTATAGTGGCATGATCAAGCTCACTGTAGCCTCCAACTCCTGGGCTCAAGCAATTCTTCCACCTCAGCCTCCCATGTAGCTAGGACTACAGGTGTGTGCCACCATGCCCAGCTACATTAAAAAATATTTTTTTGCCGGGCGCGGTGGCTCAAGCCTGTAATCCCAGCACTTTGGGAGGCCGAGGCGGGTGGATCACGAGGTCAAGAGATCGAGATCATCCTGGTCAATATGGTGAAACCCCGTCTCTACTAAAAATACAAAAAATTAGCTGGGCATGGTGGTGCGTGCCTGTAATCCCAGCTACTCAGGAGGCTGAGGCAGGAGAATTGCCTGAACCCAGGAGGCAGAGGTTGCGGTGAGCTGAGATCACGCCATTGCACTCCAGCCTGGGTAACATGAGTGAAACTCCGTCTCAAAAAAAAAAAAAAAAAATTTTTTTTTTTAGAGACAGGACCTTGCTATGTTGACCAGGCTGGTCTTGAACTCCTGGCCTCAGGTAAGCCTCCCACCTCAGCCTCTCAAAGTGTTGGGATTACAGGCATGAGTCACTACACCCAGCCTAATATGTACTTTTGTGTGTTTTTTTTTTTTTCATTTATTTATTTATTTTTCATTCAGCTTTCTCAGATTGAAAATGTGTATTTTTGATATGTCAGGCATCAGATAGGTGCTTCACCTTTATCATCTCATTTAGCCCTATTAGCATATACAGTAGGTTTTACTACCCCATTTTATTCATGAAGAAACTAAAGCCAAGAAATGAAAAGTGACTTGTCCTATGTCACTTAACAACTTAGTCACAGAGTCCAATCTTGAATAGCTAAAATTTCCCGAGCATTTTTAATTATTACAAATTGTTCTAAAATGTTTTGTATGCCTTAATTAATTAATCCTCCCAATAACCTTATGAGTAGGTATTATTATCATTTCCATCTTACAGATAAATAAAATGAGTCTCAGAGAGGTTAAGTTACTTTCTCAAGGCTAAGAAACCTGGCTTTCTAGCCCCTACTTCCTCTTCTCCTCCTGGTGAAAATCCTACTTTCCTTTTTCCTTCTTTCTTCATGGCAGGCTTACCATCAAAGAGCCAAAACAAGGTGAAGGTTAATCCTGCCCCCACTTTGCAGTCTCAATCGGTCTTCACCAACTCAGGCTCTGAAGTAGAAGACTAAGATTTGAGCCCTGGCATCCTGACTCAATTATCTGTGTTCCTAACCACTATGGGAGCTTGCCATATTTTTAAACTTTAAGTCTACTGCACATTTTATAACACCAGGTTGTCTCACTTCACCAAGATATCTGGCCCTTTTAGTTCAATTATTTCACCATGCCCAGGCCAGCTTTCAGCACAGGTCCTTTGAAACCAGTTTTTCACTGAATAGGCTGTAGACTCAACCCTCAGTTCCTAATGGAGAATGAATTTTCCACAGTCACTAGTGGCTAGAAGTAGGTGTTTGTCCCTTGAGTTCCATAGGTAGGACATCTTCAACTAGACCATTTCCTAGACTCTCCTTGTCTCAACTAATTCCCAATCTTCTGTCATTCTAACCTCTCACCCATAATTCACATTTGTCATTCTTGTTTCAGCCAAACAGGAATAAGCTTTGAATTAACAAGTAATGGGCAAAACACTTAGTCACCCAGTCGTCTTTCACAGTATTTACATGTTCCAGGGAATCTTGAATTACTCTTTTTTATGTAGTCTGAAAACTTTCTTCCCGCCTTCAAGATCTCAAACAAGACTGGTTACTTTCTTTCCTTAAAGCCTGCCTTTTTTTTTCTCTCTCAGACATTTAGTTTAGTCTCTTAGTTGTACAAAGTGATGTTTTAACCACTTTTCTCATAATTCCTTCTTTTCTTTCATCATGGGCCTCTTAGGAAATCTGGCTTTGTAGCCCCCAATTCCTCTTCGGGTAAAAATCCCACTTTCCTTTCTCCTTCTTTCTTCATGGCAGGTCTGTCATCAAAGAGCCAGAATAAGGTGATGGTTAATTTCCCCCTACTTTGGAGTCGCAATCTGTCTTCAGTAACTCATGCTCTGAACCTTGGGATCTACTGCTTTACTTTACTCTTCAACTCAAAGAGGGAGAGATGTGTTCAGTATTCTGTTGTTGTGTGGAGCCTGGACCTCTGGGATCCCTCAGAACTAGTGAGAGGATGGCCTTTTGCACCCAGCTAAGTTACTGGCAGAGCCAGTTAGGTTAAAAAATAATCAGTGATATTTATAATTAAATTTAATAAGAAATGTGAAATCCAATAAGAAAATATTATAACTTTATCAAGAATTATAAAATAATATTTTTAAACAAATGGAGAGGTTGTACTGGTCTGAAGGGATAAATGGCATGGGAGAAACTGATTTTATTCATCAATTGATTAATACATTGAGTGTGAAGATAGCCTGTCCAGGGACTGGAGAATCTCAACACTAGTAGAAATCCCAGTACTTCTCTGGCACCCTGCCTTAATCAGGTAGCTATCTGTGCCGCCTCGAGGAAGTCCCTGCAAAAAAGGCATAGGCTGTATAGCAACTCTAAATCCTAGATGTGACTACGTTATCTGAGCTATGTATATTCCACTGCTTTGGTGACACTAAGCTGCAATGATTAGCAGAAGTTCTTTTATCACACAATTGTAGATAAGCCACTAACGAATCAAAATAAAGTTCCACAAAATATTCTATCATTGCCATCTCACGTAAGTATAAAACTTCTCCCATCTTTATTCAGCTAGTAATTATCCTAGTGACCATTCATCCTAATAATCACAAGTATAAAATATAACAAGAAAGAAATGTCCTACTCTAGTAAAACAAACTACAAGCTGCATAGCTGGGTTGTAAGCATAGTTCAGAGAAGACTCATAGCCATTTGTTTATGTATTGCTGGTAAGCTGACTATATAGATATGATCATCATGCACAAAGGAGTGGCTTCCCAGGAGGACACCAACAGCTGTCTCTCTGTCTCTCTCACAGGAATATAGCATGTTACTAGATAGGAGGCTAATATTGCAAAAATATCAACTCCATCCAAATTACTGTATATAATCTAAATCTGTTTACTCTGAAATCCTTGGGTAAACCTAGCTGAACCTTCCAGTTTTACCTTGGTCACAATTTGTACAAATGGTAATCACAAAGAAAAAACCTCTAGTAGATTCAGAAAAGAGAAAGATAGGAATCAAACATATCACTACAAAAAGTCACCAAATCACAAAGGAAGACAGCAAGAGAGGAATAAAAGAACTACAAAACACTCAGAAAACAATTAACAAAATGGCAATAGTGAATACTTACCTATCTATAATTGCCTTAAATGTAAATAGATTGAATTGTCCCATCAAAAGACTGACTAGAGTGGTTGAATGAATAAAAGATCTAACAATATGCTACCTATAAGAGAGTCACTTTAGCTTTAAGGACATACATAGACTGAAAGTGAAGGGTTGGGAAAAGATATTCTGTGCAAATGGTAACCAAAAGAGGACAAGGGTGGCTATACTTGTGTCAGGCAAACCTGTCATAAAAGACAGAAAGGTCATCATTTAATGATAAAGAGGCCAATTCATCAATAGTATATAACACCAGTGAATATAAATGCATCTAACAAGAGAGCGCTTAAATATATAAGGCATAGCTTAACAGAACTGAAGGGAGAAATAGGCAGCAGTACAGTAATAGTAGCGAACCTCAGTAATCCACTTTCAACAATAGAATCATTCAGAAAGAAAATCGAGGAAACAGTGGACTTGAATAACATTATGACCAAATGGACCTAACGGATATATACAGAACATTCCAACCCAAAACAGCACAATACATTGTTCTTTTCAAGTGCACATGGATCTGTTCTCTAGTATAAATCATATGTTGGGCCACAAAACATGTCTTAACAAATTTAATAAGATTGAAAGCATGTTATCTTTTCTAACCACATGGTATGAAATTAGAAATCAATAACAGGAAGAATATTAGAAAATTCACAAATATGTAGAAATTAAACAGCATACTCCTAAGCAACCAATGGGTCAAAAAAGAAATCAAAAGGGAAATAAAAATACCTTAATACAAATGAAAACGTAGCAAAACTTATAGGATGCAGCAAAATTTGTTCTAAGAGAGAAGTTCATAGTAATAAATGCCTACATTAGAGAAAAAAAAGAAAGATCTCAATTAAACAACCTACATTTACACCTTAAGGAACTAGGAAAAGAAGAAAAAACTAGGCCCAAAGTTAGCAGAAGGAAGGAGTTAGAGTAAAAATAAATAAAATGGAGAATAGAAAAGCAATAAGAAAAATTAATAAAACTAAAAATTGGTTTATTGAAAAGATCAACACAATTGGCAAACCCTTAAGTAAACTTTTAAAAGAGAAGACTACAATCCAAAATGAAAGAGAAAACATTACAGCTGATTCCACAAAAATAAAAGGGATCATAAGAGACTATTTTTTTAATGTTTTATTTTATTTATTTATTTTTTATTGCATTTTAGGTTTTGGGGTACATGTGAAGAACATGCAAGATTGTTGCATAGGTACACACATGGCTAAAAAACAAGCCGGGCATAATGGCTCATGCCTGTAATCCCAGCACTTTGCGAGGCTGAGACAGGTGGATCATGAGGTCAGGAGTTCAAGATCAGCCTGGCCAATATGGTGAAACCCCAACTCTACTAAAAATGCAAAAATTAGCTGAGTGTGGTGGCACATGCCTATAATCCCAGCTACTCAGGAGACTGAGGCAGGAGGATCGCTTGAACCGGAGGCAAAGGCTGTGGTGAGCCAAGATCGCACCACTGCACTCCAACCTGGGCAGCAGAGCAAAACTCCATCTCAAAAACAAAACAAAACAAAATAAAAACAAAATCTCCCAATAAACAAAAGCCTAGGACCAGATGGCTTCACTGGTGAATTCTGTCAAACATTTTAAAAATAATTAATACTAGTCCGTCTTAAACTCTTCCTAAAATTGAAAAAGAGACAACACTTTCAAACTCATTTTATAAGGCCAGCATTACTCTGATACAAAAGCCAAAGACACTATAAGAAAAGAAAATTATTGGCCAATACTTCTGATAGATGCAAAAATCCTCAACAAAATACTAGCAAATAAATCCAGTATCAGAGTAAAAGAATCGTATATTGTGACCAAGCAGGAGTTATCCCGAGAATACGAAGATCACATAACATATGCAAATCAATCAGTGTGATATACCACATTAACAGAGTGAAGGATAAAAACTGCATTATTGTCTCAATAGATACAGAAAAAGCATGTGGTTGATTTTCAACAAGGACATTATAACTATTCATTGGGAAAAGAATAGTCTTTTCAACAAATGGTGCTGGTAGAACTGAATATACACATACAAAAATATAAAAATTGACCCTTTACACCATACACAAGAATTAATGCAAAATAGATTAAAGATTTAAATGTAAGAGTTAAAACTATAAAACTCTTTTTAGCCGGGCGCGGTGGCTCACGCCTGTAATCCCAGCACTTTGGGAGGCCGAGGCGGGTGGATCACGAGGTCAAGAGATCAAGACCATCCTGGTCAACATGGTGAAACCCCGTCTCTACTAAAAATACAATAAATTAGCTGGGCGTGGTGGCGCGCGCCTGTAATCCCAGCTACTCGGGAGGCTGAGGCAGGAGAATTGCCTGAACCCAGGAGGCGGAGGTTGCGGTAAGCCGAGATCGCACCATTGCGCTCCAGCCTGGGTAACAAGAGCGAAACTCCATCTCAAAAAAAAAAAAAAAAACAAAAAAAAACTCTTTTTAATTTTATTTATTTATTTATTTTTGGAGACAGGTTCTTCTCACTCTGCTGCCCAGAGACAGTGGTACAATCACGGTTCACTGGGCAGTCTCTATCCTGGCCTCAAGTGGTCATCCCACCTCAGCCTCCTGAATAGCTGGGATCACAGGCTGCACCATCATGCCTGACTAATTTTTTTAGTTTTTGTAGACATACAGCCTCACTATGTTGCCCAGGTCGGTCTTGAACTCCTGAGCCCAAGCAGTCCTCCTGCCTCAACCTCCCAAAGTGCTGGGATTGCAGGTGTGAGCCACTGCATTACAGGTGTGAGTACAGGGATTACAGGTTATAAAACTCTTAGAAAAAGAAATAGGAGTAAATTCTAATGTCCTTGGATTAGCAATGGTTTTTTTAACTGTGACACCAAAAACACAAGGGACCAAAGAAAAAACAAATAGGACTTCATCAAAATTAACAACTTTGGTGCTTCAAAGCAAACTATCAAGAAAATGAAAAGACAACTCAAGAATGGTACAAAATATTTGCAAATCATGTATTTGATAGGGGCCTTTTACCCGGAATATAAAGAACTCTTACAGTTCAGTGATAAAGAGACAAATAACCCAATTTTAAAATGGTCGATAACATGGACTTGTTTCTCAGGAAAAAAAAAAAAAGGTCAGTAACATAAACAGGGGAACAATAGACATTATGGACTACTAGAGGGGGAGGGGCTGTGGGTGCAATATACCTATGCCACAGACCTGCACATGTAACCACTGTATGTGAAACAAAAGTTGAAATTTTTAAAAAATGGTCAAAGAATCTGAATAGACATTTCTTCAAAGAAAAAATATACAAATAGCTGATGATACTCAACGTCATCGTTAGTCATAAGGGAAATGCTAATCAAAACCACAGTGAGTTACTACTTCACAGCCTTTAAAATTGCTAAAGTAAAAAGCATGGGCAATAACAAGTGCTGGAGAGAATGTGGAGAAATTGGGACACTCATACATTTGAGGAGGGAATGTAAAATAGTACAGATACTGTGGAAAACTGTCTGGCACTTCCTCAACAAATTGAACATAAAGTTAACATTTGACCTATTGATTCTACTCCTAGGCATATACTAAAGAGGAATGAAAACGTGTTCACACAAAAACTTGAACATGAATGTTCATAGCTGTATTCTTCACAGTAGCCAAAAGGTGGAAACAAAGCAAATGTTCATCATGGGTGAATAGAGAAATACAATGTGGTATTGTATTGAGCACTGATGTATTGTTCAGACATAAAAAGGAATTAAATACTGAGACATACTACAACATGAATGAGCCTTGGAAACATTTTTCTAAGTGAAAGAAGCTAGTTTCAAAAGACCCATATTTTATGCATCTGTTAATGTAAAATGTCCAGAATAGACAAATCCACAGAGACAGAGAATAGATTAGTGTCCACTAAGGACTGAGAGGTAAGAATTGAGAGTACAGGTATGAGGTGTCCTTGAGGGATGATGAATATGCTCTGGAATTAATGATGATGGTTGCATAACCATGAATATACTAAAAGCCAATCAACTGTACACTTTCAGGGGTTAATTTTATATTATATGAATCATAGCTCAAAAAAAAAAAAAAAAACTTGAACAATTGCAGGGTTTGGTTTCCAGGACCTGGAGCCAGAGACTCCTCTTGGAGGAGTGAATCAGATAGTTAAAGATCAGAGTAGGAGTCCGTAGCCTGGGATATAATTTTTGATGGCCAAGGGAAGAAGTTTCTTTTTAATCTTGGGAGCCTTGGGGTAAGGAGGATCTTAGAGGGCCAGAAGAACTTTAAAGTAGATATTCAGTACAACTCAGAGGCAGAGGGGTTGCTACAGCCCACTCTCTGAGGAGGCAAATTCTATGGAGACATCACCTAGGAATTAATTAGAAGCATTAAGGGTAGAAAGCTTAGCAGTGGTGTCAGCCTTCAGGCTAATATCTAGATTGCTTGGTATAATATACAGGTTTAAGAGAACTGGGAAGCACTTAATCCATATCATCTAAATAATTAAGGCATTTTCTCCTCCAGAAATACCTCTGTGTCCTACTTTCCCTGACTTCCATCCCCTCTTCTGTGCACCTCCAACTGTATCTCTGCCCTAACATTAGATTGAAATTTTGTATTTGTCTTTCCTACTAGGAATAGGAATACCAAGATGGTCAGGGATGATGTTTTCCTCATCTCATAACCCTAGGACCTAGCACAGGTCCTGAACCTACCAAGAATTCAGTAAATGCTTGCTGAACCAAGGAAGAACCAGATATTATAGGAATATTTCATTCAGGATAGAAAGATCTATTGATTTTATATATATATATATATATATATATATATATATATATATATGTTTTCATAACATGGTAACAGGCTCACTATTTGTAATAGCTTGTAACAAACACCTCTGTTTTGATGTGATGATTTTTTCAAGTAATCAGGCTTACTCACACTACACTTAAGTCCTTGAAGTCAGAGACTTTCTTACTTATCATTTTATCCCTCTACAGCATTTAGTACACTGGCTTCTGTGCAATAGATGATCAATCATGTTTTACTAATTTAAATTTAGTTAAGCAAGTTTAGGACAAGCTGGCTTGCAAAAGAGCCTCAGATATATTAAGACAAAGTGCTAAAATTGACTTATGAGGAAAGGCTGGGTTTCTGTGGTTGGCAGTAAAATTGGTGCAGACCATCTTGTTGTCCATGGAGACATAATCTAGGAAGTACTAGAAGCATTGATGATGGAGAACTCCTCAGTAGTTACTTGTTCTGTTGCCTCCAGAAAGCTCGAATTGGGTATTTTTATTTTTATTGTTCCTTGATTCTTTTGTCTGTGATTAAAGAGACAAAAATCCCATGTTTAAACAGATATCTTCAGGAAGAAAGTGTGGGGATATAGTGGTCTTCACTAGCAGCCAGCATCCCAGTCTGATCTACAGAGGGGCATCCTTCTCATCATTTATCCCATCTTTTTTCAGAACATGAGAGATGTCTGCAAGCCAACAACAACAAATTCCACGGTAGTTCTGGATATCCGGTGAGTGTCATGCCTCTGGCTGCTTCAGAAGGGGGCCAGTATTCTGTAATATTCTTCTTTGTTGGAGGAGCATGAAATTCTTTGTAGATGTGGATCCTATAACACAGATTCTATTACACTTTCACTCAAGCTCCTATACAATGAGTGGCGGAATGAAGGCTCAGAAACCAAATAGGGAACGTCTCAGATTTCAGGTTTATATATAACTCCCAGATAATAAATACTATAGCTTTTTCTTGCAGAAATGAAAGCATAGTTCTACAATTTTCTTTTTTCATTTAGACATTTATCTATGACAACACATATAGATATCCCTCATTCATTTAATAGTGACATTATTTTCCATTATGTTGATAAACCTTATTTAGTCAGTCTCCTATTGATGAACATTTTAATGTCACCAGTGTTTTGCTATGATAAATGCTGTTGAATGGACACAGTTACACATATATTTTGGCACATTTGTGTAACTGTATCTTATGAAAGTTTCCTAAAAGTAAATTGGCTGTGTCAAAAGAATTGCACACTAAAAATTAAAATTTGTCAGAGGCCAGATTGCCCCCAAAAAGAATTATATCCATTTACGTTTCTACTTAAATTAGAGACTGCCCATTTCTCCATGTTCCTGTCAAACTGGTTATCATCAATCTTCTTCACCTTTGTCAGCTCTTAGATGAAAATGACATTCATGTTAATTAGCCTTTTCTATTTCTTTTTCTGGAAAATACCTATTGATGATCTTTGCCCACTTTCTATTGGATTGTCCATTTTTCACTTATTCATGTATCTATGACTAAGTAATTCACAAAAAGATATATATTGAAAAGTTATGCTCCAGTACTCTATCCTCATCCTTATCTGCTCCCCTGAGGGAACCACTGTTAATTTTTTTGTGTGTATTAAGCAGTGTTTCTTTGTGCAAATAAAGCAAATACAAATATATATTCTTACTTTTCTATTTTTACACTATTCTGAACCTTAATGTATCCTGGAGATGTCTTCATTATAATTTTATAATAGTTTTTTCCTTTTTCAGCTATAATATGTAGTATTTTCTCTGCAGATTTAACATATTTTATTTAACCAGTTCCTTTTAAATGGACATTTTGGGTTGTTTTTAATCTTTTGTGATCACAAGCAATTATTTTATACATATTTAAGTAATTATATATACATATACATAGCTGTAATCATATATGTTTGTGGTCTCTGTTGGCTGTTTATGATTTCTGAGTGAGAGTGGTATATTATTATATTCTCACACTGCTATAAATAACTACCCAAGACTGGGTAATTTATGAACCAAAGAAGTTTAATTGACTCACAGTTCCTCAGGCTTAACTGGAAGCATGACTGGGAGGCCTCAGGAAACTTACAATCATGTTGGAAGGTGAAGGGTAAGCAATCACCTTCTTCACGTGGTGGCAGGAAAGAGAGAGAGAAAATGAGGGGGATTCCACACTTTTAAACCATCAGATCTCATGAGAACTCCCTCACTATCACAAGAATAGCATGGGGGATCTAATTACTCCTACCAGGTCCCTCCCCAACACTGGGAATTACAATTCAACGTGAGATTTGGGTGGGGACACAGAGCCAAACCATATCAAGTGGTCTGGATAATAATAATGTCCAAGATATGACTATGAGAGCAGGTTTTTCTCTTCTCTATCTTCTAAACCTGCTTAGGAAGGAGTGAGGAGAGTAAATCTAGGTTTTGGCATCAGACAGATCTGAGTTTGAATATAGCTCAGCCCCCACTAACCTTAATGTCTTAAGCAAGTTTGTTAACTTCTCTAATCTTCAGTTCTTTCATCTGTAAAATGGGCATAATAAAGTTCACCTTGCATGGTGGTCATAGGAGTTAAGTATGGTTCTGAAAATGTTAGTTCTGTTTCTCCAAGAAACTATTAGTCCTTGGAACTAATAGTCCTTGAAAAAGGATATCTCATTTATCTCTGCATACGCAGTTTCCATTACAATGTTATGCACACAGCCAACATTTAATAAATGTATATTGAATATTTAATGAGTGAATGAACAGATTTGACTGATTCTGATATGTTTAACACCATTTCATTTACCTGGCCCTGAGCATTGCTCATTTTCCTATTTCTCTAACTTCTTCCACTGTGACTCCTTGTCCTCTTCCCTATTCCTAACTACTGATTCTCATTATATCCTTTGTATTTTATTCTCTTCTATTTCCCCAATTAACTTTCAGTCCCATAACACTGCCCAAAGAAAAAAATAACTAAACCAAAATTCACCACCTCTATCATGTTTAAATTTTATCACCTCTGCCTAAAGGACTAAACTCTAAGGAAGTTCACAGTTAAGGAGATGTTCTTAGGATAATGTTTCTGGTTTTACATTTAAGAGCAGAACAAAACACTCTAGTTGCAAAGTTAGTAAAGAAATACCTGTATTTGTGTCTTGAAGCAGAATGTTACCTGCATGAATAGAAACCTGAAATACATTAAATGGCTATAAAATCAAATGGAAAATAAACAGTGAAGCCTAGCTACATCAGTAAGGCCACCTCTCAGAAGATCTTTGAGTTCAAGTATCAGAGCCATCAGGACTTAGACACTGAGAAATTCAAAGTTATGATCAAAGAAAGCTATTTCCATGTTAGAATTATATATTCTTGTGACAAGAAGGGCCCTTAGAGATCATTTCACTAGAATTTGATTCAAGACAGACCACGAGCTTCTCAAGAAGAGATCCTGCCTAATTATTTATCAGCCTCCACTAGTATAGTCCAGCATAGGGACTGTGAACAGAGCAAGCCTTGAGAAATGCAATAGTGTCTGATTGATTATTATTTGGAAAATCTTGGAGAAAACACTGAGGAAATCTTAGTTTTGCCTGGATCTCTAAACTCCTAAGTGCTAAGCTATTTGACCAGCTTCTCTAAGGAAATAGGCCTTGGGCAAGGCTTGGCTGGATAGCCTAACTTTCTGGGACACAAGATTCGGGTTTTAGTCTTAGGACTGAATAGTTTTAATTCTCTGAGGGAAAGACTTTGATATCTTCCTAAGGCAGGGCCTAGCAAGATTCTTCATGCTTGAGCAGTATTTGTACTCCAGGCAAGCAGGTAGGTTATTCTTTTTTTTTTTTTTTTTAACTTTTATTTAAGTTTAGGGGTACATGTGCAGGATGTGCAGGTTTGTTACATAGGTACGCCTGTGTCATGGGGGTTTTTTGTGCAGATTATTTAATCACTCAGGTATTAAGCCTAGTATCCATTAGTTATTTTTATTCTTTTGTTCTGTCCTTTTAAAGGGAAGAGGTAGGAGATAAGCCCTGAACTTAGGGAAGTATTTGGTCTTATTCTTATGCTTTGAGAGCTCTTACATTTGAGCTCTGACATCTTAGGACAAATGATTTAAGATTCAAAGGTAGAAAGTAAGATGATCCTTTGAACATCTTGAGATCAGAATTGAGGAAGTAAACAAGTTTCCATTTTCACTCAGCAAAATAATAGCTTGGATGAGCCAAAACTATTTAAATCCTCTTAGGACAATTAAGGGCCAAATGATTCTCCAATGCTGACAGTGACTAGTATAGAAACCTTCAGTGGGCTAGGGTTGAAAGACAGTTCTTTGCTTTTAACATCTAACATCCTTCAACATTGCAAAAAACACGGAAAAGCACACCAAATTGAGTTTGCCAAGCTAAGAAAGCCCCGTTAGAGAGCTCTGGATGCAGCGCCTCCATTTCCTCATCCTCAAAAGTACTCCCCTCATAGGGTTGTTGTGAGGAGTAAATGAGTTGCTACATATAAAATGCTGCAACAGTGCCTTTCACATAGTAAGTACTCAATAAATGTAAGTTTTTATTGACTTGATCATCATTATTACCATCAATAACATCAATAAACAACAACTCTATCAGAGCAGAGATACATTCCCCCAAAGAAAGTACGATATAGAGCAGCCTGGCCATCTTTCTACCCTCGAGGCCTCTCTAGGCCTCAAGGAAAAGGGGAAATTAGAGATTCCTTCCCCCCTCCCTCCCTGTGGTGGTGGGGAGGGGGGTAGAGGGGACTTTGGTGGCTTTTTCTCATTTCACTCAGTGGTCTTGGTCTTTTTGTAGGGGAAGGGCAGACTGGGAGGTAGGGGCAGCTGCTTATCAACCCAGTTTTGAGCTGTCTTTTGTCTAATTGTGTATTTCTTGTTTGTTTGTTTACTCACAGAAAAATACCATCAAGACCTCAAAATATAATGTCTTTAATTTCCTGCCCCTGAACCTATTTGAACAGTTCCAGAGACTTGCAAATGCATATTTCCTCATTTTGCTAATTTTACAGGTATTGCCTTTTGGGGCCTTTTCCAGAGAGTATTTTATGAACTTCTCTGTGGTCAGACTGTATAATCAGTTTTTTTCCTCCCTAAACTGGGAAATGTCTTCTCTCTTCAGACAACAGAAACATGGGTGGCTGGAGTCTCAGACCAGTCCCTTAGAATAGTTGTGGTCAGGATTAGCTAGTGTATAGCAAGCCTCTATACAAGGAAAGGGACAAGGTCACCACATTCCAAGGAAGGGGAGTTCCTCATCGTGGCTGTGTTGCCACAGTTCAGTTTGACCATAGAGGGCTACAGATTCTTCACCCCACCACAACTGCAACCCTATTTCTGTTTCTTGTCCCATCCTTGCTGACAGAAAATTAACATGTGAGAGTACTAAAGAAGGTTTAGAATGGTTTAGAATATAAGTGCCAGCATAAGGACAGCAAGCAGGGCACGATATGCCCAAATTAGGAGAGAGAGACAGATCATTTCACTCCTTGTACTGAAGGGTGTGGTAGAGCATGTAGTTTTTCTCTATCTATCTGCTCTTACCCACCCTCCACACCCATTACTTTTCATTATCAGAGGAGAAATGCTCTTTGCCATCAACACAAAGGTAGTGGGGTTCAGGATAGATAGGGAGCAACTTATAGTTTTTTATTCTTTTATCTTTCCTTGGGAAATGTTTATGTACATCTCAGGGGTTATATGAAAGATACAACAGTGGAAAGCAACTAGAATAGTTGGATTTAGTATGAACAAATGGAGGTGAAAATGGTGTTGAGGGTGAGGGACATGGTGGGGGGTGGGAATATATTATCCTTTGAGTTTTCTGACCCAAGATTTTCTCTCTTAGTTGATTCCCCAGATCTCCTCCTTGGCATGGTATACAACTATGGTACCCCTGATGGTGGTGCTGTCCGTAACAGCAGTGAAAGATGCCATCGATGACCTGGTGAAGTGGCTTCCTTGGCCTCTAGTTCCTCTCACTGCACCTAGTCAGGCTGCGGGCATGAAGGACTTCCCAGAACTACCTGGTGCTAACAAGAAAACCTGAATGGAAAGAGAGATTTCCCTTTCTTCTTTCCTTATCCATCCCAGAGTAATATGCAGTTCCTTTAGGCCCAAGATTGGTGGTCTATGTATGGCCAGAAAGGGGTAAAATAAGGCCTTTCTCTGTCTTCCTACTGCCGCCACTTTTAGCCCCTCTCCCAAGCCTCCTTCCATCTTTAATAACCCATTATTTCTTTACTCCTCTTAGCTTTCTGTAGCTTTGCTCTCATCCTTTTTCCTTTGCTTCTCCTTCTCCCACTCTCTATTCCCTTTCCCTTCTTCCGTCTGCCCCTGTTCCCCCTTTCCTGTTCTTTCTCTTTCTTTTTGTCTCTCCACATTTTCTTTATTCTCTACAACTCTCCCTATTTCCCTTTCCAACTTTCAATTCTGTTAGGTGTGCACAGCTAGGAACCCTCTGGTTTTAGAAAGCCTCATGACATATGCAAAGGCTGACTCCTTTTCTGGCCTTGAAAGAGAAACTGGCTCACAGTGAGTGCTGCATGGCTTTCTCTTTGCCTCTTACAGCAGGCCCAGCATAGAGGGGTAAGGGCAAGAACCCAGTGCCATGCCTACTAGTGGGATTTGGAAAGCCAGTCCTATTGACCTTCTTGCAGTTTCCCTAAGAGGGTCTTTCTGATTTCACCAGAACAGATTTTTAGCCCAGTTTGAGAGCACCGTGTTTCCTCAGCACTTTACCTCTTTAAACCCAGGATTAGCACATTGTGGTTTACCTTTCAGTCACAACTTAGATGTGCAAAAATATAACTTTATTTCTCTATAACTGAACTCAGTTTAGATTATAACCACATGCACAACCCATCTTAGCTGTCTCCAATGAGAACCAAAAATTAATTTGCCAATTCAGGGTAACCCAATTACTTCTAGTTTAGAATTCAGTATCTTTAGGATAAATAGTTGGACAATTTTGAATTCTGACAAATTCAGAATTCTCTCTGCCCTACTCCCAGTTCTACGCTTTACTCAAGGAGTAATCTCAACTAGAAGGAGGAGATTTATGTAAATCCTGATGTCAGGACATATCCTCTATTTGTTTCCCTTCTATTTCGTCTTTAAATATTGGCCTCTTTTCTCACTGTATCCACTATAGAAGCCTCTGTATGTCAACTGTGGTTGAAGGTAGGGTAGGAGTCTGCTTGAGAATACTTAGCTTTCCCTGCACCTACCCAGGCACACAGGACTCTGTAGCCCTGCCCATCATTTGAATTGTGTCCTCTGCAGCTTTTGACATGTTTTCTCATTCCCCCGGGTTTTTCACTTTTGATATTTAAAACCAAGATTTTGTTTCTTTCTTCTCCCTGGATTATTTTCCTGCCCTCTCTTTCCAGCTTCCCGGAGATAATCAACCCCTTGGCTTGGTTTTAAGAGTAGAAGGGCTTGGTATAGGGGAAAAGAAGAATTACAAAGAAGGGAACTATATTGTATAATATTTCAAAATGTTAATCTTCTATATGAAGTTTACTATAGGCCTGTTTCCTGAACATTTTCTTGTGTGATTTTAGAAAAGGCACCAAAGTGACAATCGAGTCAACAACCGGCCTGTTCTGCTACTGGTGAATGGCAAGTAAGTTCTAGGGAAGCTAGTTTAGGTAGGACCATTCCTGAAAAGGTTTGGCTTTAGTTCAGGACAATGAAAAGAACCTCAGACATAGAAATAATTTGTTCATAGAAACAAATAATTTGTTTCTAGATCTAGCATGCTCTGAATTTGTCATGTAACCTCAGATATCTGTGTTGGTCTCATTTTTCTTTTCTATAAAATGGAAATAATTCTCTACCTTAGAGGATATTTGTGAAAATAGAAAGGAAATAATATATATTAAAGCAATTAATATTTTATAACATGATATTACTATGTAAGTGATATTATTAATGTGGTAGTTAGCATGGAAACATCTGTCTTTAGAACATTAATGGATTCTGACATGGTTTTTGGCCATTCTACTGTAGCCTTTGGTCAGGTCATCTTTTCTGTTAGCAATATAAACAGAGTATTGACATTGGCACAGCTGCTTTAGTGTTTGGTCATAGCTATCCAAAGTGTTGCAGGAATGGAAAAAGGCAGGCATATTTCTATGTAAGGCAAAATATGAAGACTATCCTAAAAGGTACACAAAATTGCTATAGGAATTAATAAAAATAAGCAATCATAACCGGTTAAAGAAATCAAGGAAAACTTTCTGGAAGAGTTGTGGTGTTTGCACTAGGCCTTAAAGGAAGGGGAAGAATTCAGCAAGTAGAGATTGTGTGAAAGGAAAAGTGACCAGTGTGAGCAGGAGCATGATTGCAAGAAAATGCAAACCTGAAGGAGTTCAAGATTGAGGTCCAGCCTTTATCCTGGTGGCCTTACCAAATACCCAATAGCTATAGAATTTATCATATAATTCTATCATCTCAAGAGCTTGAGCAGCTAACCCTGTTGTGTACTGTGTCTGCTGATTCTTACGATGGTTGGTTTCCTCAAGAGTTTTGAACTTTTGAGCTGTTGAACTGTACCATAAGATAACACCAAAAAAGTCAGTTGTAGTTAAAAAGAAGGGAAATAGAAATGAAAAGACAAAACTGAGTATATGCAGAATTGCTGACCGAGAGGATTTAGTCAAATGAACTCACCCAAGTAGCTTGAGCACTTGGGTTTTATAAGGTTATTGAAGAATTTGTCTTAGTGGTGTTTTAAGGTGCGAGTTAACAGGCAAGGCCCTGGTTAAACTTTACAAGCTACTGAGTATCCGATTAGTTTAACATGCAGAGGTGAGGTTGGTTGTTGAAACATTGTACGTTCCAGAAAACAGCTTTCCTTTTCTAGAACACATGGGTCTAAGCAGAGCTGCTATTTTAAAAGTTTGTCTGCTTTATAAGTTATGATTTTTGTCATTTTTCATTTCTCAGTAATTTTGTTTACAAGTACATCATTAGAACTTTCTTTAAGGGAATTCTAAGTGGCTGGAGGTGAGGTTGTATCCCTCTATAAGGGTTTGTGTTTGCTTCTGCCAGTTGACTCAAGGGTATTACCTGCTGAGACCTAATTTGAAGGACATATAAATTTGAGCCCCATTCCATATGCAGTTACAGATGTTCAGGGAAGAGTCCTCCACTCACTGACCCCCAACACTCCAGACTAAGATAGACAAACTTTCTTGCCAGTGAGCTACTTTTTTTTTTAGATGACTCTTTTACTAATGGTATTGCCCTTCAAGGGTCCTGGCTTTATGAGAAATTCTTAGTTTCAACTCACTGCCTCTCAAGATCTTAAGGCTTTATCTCTTGTCCCTCTGGTAGAAGAAATTGAAATTCAGGTTATTAGATTATTAAAACTAATCCCTCCTTGACCCAGGGCAAGAATAGCTTCAGAACATGCTTACTGTTTTGTATGACAGGATTGAGTATTTTAAATCAGTAAGGAGTGTCTCCACCTCTCCCAAATCTGGGACACATGATTGTTATAATGTCCAAGAACAAATTGATAATCGTTTGGCAGCTCCTTATGTAAGAAATTATAAATTTATAATTTATATATATCTCCAGGAGAAGCCAGAATGTAACAGCACTTGTTCCTCTTCATGTTTTACATTAGATAGAATGCCAGAGTAATAGTGAACGTCAAGTCAAGACAAAACAAACACCCAGATGTCTTTCTCCAAGGCTTGTAGCTACTACTCTACAGTACTATCAGAAATTTCTCTAAAAGAAACAGTGGATTTGGCCAGGCGCGGTGGCTCACGCCTGTAATCCCAGCACTTTGGGAGGCCGAGGCGGGTGGATCACGAGGTCAAGAGATCGAGACCATCCTGGTCAACATGGTGAAACCTGTCTCTACTAAAAATACAAAAAATTAGCTGGGCATGGTGGCGCGTGCCTGTAATCCCAGCTACTCAGGAGGCTGAGGCAGGAGAATTGCCTGAACCCAGGAGGCGGAGGTTGCGGTGAGCCGAGATTGCGCCATCGCACTCCAGCCTGGGTAACAAGAGCGAAACTCCGACTCAAAAAAAAAAAAAAAAAAAAAAAAGAAACAGTGGATTTATATAAAAGGACTTTTTATTGGGAAAATTTGGCCCTCCTCAAAGCAGCTGTCTTCTTAGGAAAGGTGTCCTAGGCATACCCATGCCTTTGTGTAGTTGGCAAAGTGGAGATGTATGTCATGCCCTGCAGATAACAGGCCTGTATTCAGAGACAAAACAGATAGTGGCCTCTAGACTCCTCTCTTTCTCACCCTTTGGGTACTTGGCATAATATAATTGTTGCAAGGATATAGCTCATATTTCCAAAATGTTCTTGGCAATATGTACATTCTTAGTCCTTTCTCAGGGAGGAAGGATTTATAGACCCTGTGTATTTGGGGAAGTTGAGGTTAAAAAAAAAAAAGAGGTGGGCAGATAACTAGTATTATTGTGGAATCTGCCCAAACTGCCAGGCTGCCTCTTATGGAAAGTAGGGATTTGAGAATCAAAGATAATCTAACTTTAACATAAATAGATAAAATTGATATGACCTTATGATAGAATACATTTTAGCTATCAAAAAGAATGAGCTACATCTTCTACAAATGCTCTCAAAGATGGATTCTTAAATGAAAAATGTAGAGTACAGAAAATTATATATCTAATATGTAGCTTTTAAATGTGTGTATTATATATGATTACATGGATTGATATTTTCTAAAAATAAATACAAAAATATTACTGACAGTGGTTACCTTTGGGGAGCAAAACTAAATTCTGGTAACAGAGAATACTTTAATTTTTCCTTTTACATACTTTACCATTGGAACTATTTTACTTTAAAAAAAAAACTTTAATTTTTTTGAGGCAGGGTCTTGCTGTATTGCTCAGGGTGGTCTCGAACTGCTGGCCTCAAGCAGGCCTCCCACCTCAGCTTCCCAAAGTAGGATTACAGGCATGATCCATCACACCTGGCTAAAAAAAGAATTTATGTGCATGTAGGTCTACAGATACTTTTATAGGGCTTTAGAACCCTTATAGCCTGAAGTCAAGAGAAATAGGCCCCATTCTTGATTGCAGCAATGATGCATCACAGACCAGTTTGAGCCTTGTCTTTATTCCTTTCAGCCTTTTTTGGAGGGTTGGGGAATCATCTTGCTTGTCAAAAGCAGAGCTTTGGGGAAATTCTCAGAGCAGATATTTAAAGGTCGTTTTCTTACAGGATGAAGAAGGACAAATGGATGAATGTTCAAGTGGGAGATATAATAAAGCTGGAAAATAATCAGCCTGTCACAGTGAGTACCTCTTTTGGCTGTGGCTTGTTCATTTTTGGATTAAGTGGGTACCAGGGACTCTTGGAGCACTTCTGCCACCACTGCTTTTGGTGACCTTTGCTGCCTCATTTTGCATCAGAAATCAATAGCTGTTACAGTAGAAGCTTGTTCTTGCCTATTTCTCACTGTAGTTACAGGTAAAGTATGAGTAGCTTTGGGAGAGGGTATGTGGTAGCAGTGATAGATGCTAGACAAAGAAAGTAAATCAGTGTCTGTAAAATCCTTAGGGTGAACATCTGTTCCTAAGGTGATTGTTTTTGTCACACTGTAATGTTAAGACCCCACCTTCCTGCTATCCTTACTTTCTTTGACTTTTCTGACCACAGGCAGATATACTATTACTCTCTAGCAGTGAGTCATATAGTCTGACATACATAGAGACAGCAGACCTGGATGGGTAAGTGTTCCCTCCTGATACTTCATTAAGATGATTTAGCCAGCTTAGAGTGGTCTCTCACTGAGGGACAGCATGAGGCGGGGAATTAATTTTATTCTCAGATGGAATATTGAATCTATGACCCAGAGAGCCTAGAAATATCCAGTTAAGAGAAGATGGATACCACATCCTTGGGACCCTCAAGTCTAAGGCTGAGCTCTTGACAGGAACAATTGAGCATTCACTGGGCACAGAATAGGGCAAATAAACCTCACATTCTCTATCTCTAAATTGGAGACACTGTGGCTGTATTCTATAATACTGAGTGGCAAGAAGGAGGTTAATAGAACTGCAACATTTCAGAGTACAGTTTCAAAGTTTCCAAGGAAAAAAAATTGAATACGGAAGTATCTATTCACTGATAAAATACCATGTCCTATAAAGTATTTAAGGTAGAAATTTATTAATATCCCAAAGCTAAGGTCTTAGGAGGACAGAGCCATCTGTAGAAAGCTTGTCCTGGGGAGTTTTGTATTGATCTTCATTCCTACAACTGTACTTCTTGATGCTCACAATTTTTTGAAACATGGCTTCCACTTTTCTTTTTATCTGTGCATTCTAGCAAGCAGTTATTTGAGAGCCTGTCATGGGCCCCATAAATATTTATGAGGTGTGGAGTATGTTTCCTTGGAGGTATGTGCAAGTTTTTACCAGGACCTGCTCCTTATTCTTTTAAAAAATTTTTAATTTAGTTTAATTTTAAAAATAGAGGCAGGGTCTTGCTTTGCTGCCCAGGCTGGCCTTGAACTCCTGAGCCCAAGCAGTCCTCCCACCTCGGCCTTCCAGAATGCTAGGATCACAGACGTGAGCCGCCATGCCTAGCCATACTCCTTATTCCTGAAGGGAGTGGGTACTGTCTCCAGGTTGTTTTATGATGTCTCTTCAGCCTCTCTAGAGCACCTGACCAGCTAGATCTCATGAGTTGATTAAGTAGTGGCAGTGTGTTGCAGGGAGTGAGAGGAAAGAGGTGGGAATGAGTGGGCTAACATTCAGCTTCCTTGAAGAGCCATCTCACCTCAATACTGTGAGAGGAACAGTGGGAGTGACTCTTATAGCTCAGACTTATAGCCCAGGCTCTACTGGCAACATCTATTTTCTAAAACCCCGTGAAAAAGTAGGAGAAACTGCACCTCTGCAGTAGTTCTGTATGTTTGTACTCTGGTGACTTGTCTTTTACTCTAGTGAAACAAATCTGAAAGTAAAGCAGGCCCTCTCAGTTACTAGTGACATGGAAGATCACCTGGAGCTTCTGTCTGCCTTTGATGGTGAGTTAGAAAATAGATTTTCCTACCCAAATTTTCATTGGTAGAGGACTGGTTAAATAAAGTATGGTACATCCGTAGTGGTTTCTATACAACTTATTACAACAATATGCAAATTGATATTTATTGAAATATAAAAAATACAACATGTAATTAAAAGAAAAATACAATTTACAAAAGACTGCATAGTGCATATAACATAAACCTGTTTTTGGAAACATATATGAGTACATATATAGAAAAAACTTAGAAGGATGTACTTCAAAAGGTATATAGCACTTTTCTCAAAACAGTGAATGAATTTTACTTCCTTCTTTACCGTTTTAATATTACATAAACATTTGCAAAGGGTATATTTACTTTACTAATCAGGAAAAAGTCAAATTGTTTCAATTTTTAAAAAAGTACTAGATTTGCTTTAAGTCATTTTTGAGTTTCTTCAGATTCAGAGCTCATATGATCTGGCAGTACTGATGTCACCATCATGTGGGGTTTTCTCTCTCTCTGGATGGTCCATGTCACATTCAGAAATATTCTTCTTTAGTGTGCAGAAACCTTTGTCTGCCTTTCTTGCAGGAGCTGGTGAGAAATGGTCAGTAACTGAGAGAAGATAGGAAAAAGATGTGTATATATTTTGAAAGAAGGATTTTATTTCCTCCTTTTCATTAAGTCTTCCATCCTGTTAGGAAAAGCCAAAGATTACAGATCAAGAACTCTTACACCTTCATTTTTCTGCAGGAGTAGTGAGATGTGAGGCTCCCAATAACAAACTGGACAAATTCTCAGGAATACTGACCTATAAGGGGAAAAAATACTTCCTGGACCAGGACAATTTGCTACTTCGAGGCTGCATCATCAGGAATACAGATTGGTGCTATGGCTTGGTGATCTACACTGGTATGTTTCCCTTAGCCCCCAGCCTGCTAAATTCCATTCATGGCTGACCTATGGGTACTTAGCTTTCAGGATGTGGATATGACTCTCAGAAATATATTAGAATACTGTGGCTTTGAGAAAGGCAGGTGGAAGGATGGATGGATGGATGGATGAATGGGAGGTTTGTAGGAAAAAACCTTATTTCTTAGGGGAAAAAAGTGGCTTCTTTTTCCAAGCAATAAACTTCCAGTATATCGGTTCTACCTTTGTTAGAGGAAGGCATTGTGTTCTAAAACTTCAGGGCATCCATGAGTCTCTTCAACCAGATCTGGACACAAGAGAGAGTATACATACAGAGGAAGTACGATAGAATTACCATGCGAAGAGGAAGACTATACATGTGAACTATTCCCACAAGGAGAGATGGGATATAATGCTTATTATAGAGAAAAATATATAATGTGAAAAGTCCATGCCAGAGAAAAGTCACATGGATCATTAGTGGTGGCTGCTCTTGAGATGTCATTTAGAACCACAATTCATTATATTTAGTAAGGGATTTTCTTGGAATATGGTGTGGGTCAGGAAAATGGAGGAAGCTTCTATGCTACCCAAGTCCCTCAGTGACAACAACCATAGCAGGAAATATCAAGACAGATTTACCACAGTAAATATTTTTCAACTTAGATTCCCAGAGCTCCCCTTCTAGAGAATCTGCTTCTAGACATGAGGCTTCTAGACTCCTTGCTTCCATGAAAAATAATGAGACCAAATCCTTAGGGAGAAGCTTAAGAGTCTAAGGAGGCCCTGGTAGAACTTACTTCGTTGGTTCTTGATCTAGAGTGGCAGTGACTAGGCTGCCTAATTGCCAAACCTAAATTAGACTTATTTTCTTCACTGTATGTCTTCAGCAGCTACTCACACACAACTGCCACTCATAAAAAGCTCATTTTTCAGCCAAAGATTTTTTTCCTGAAAGCAATAGTAGTGAGGCTGCCTACCAGCACAAATGTAATTAAGTTTTCCCAAGGTTGGTTACATGGTAGTGAGTACCTTTGGGAATCTCTGAGCAGAGAACTAACACCACCGAAAAACATTTTGAGGTATTAGCATGGAATTGAGTTGCTATTCCTGCTACAAGATGTCCAAGTTCCATGATGATTTCTACCTTCTACTTGAAGCCTGGGTTAAGGTCAGTCTAAGGACCCTTAGAAAATATGGTCCTTGTAGCTTTCAGGCTATATGCCAAACTTCTCATGTCTTCAAGCCCTTCAAAGAATGTTTAAGAGGAAAGAATGGCATAGCTTATGCTTTGTCCTCCCACTGTTTGCCCACATATCAGAGATGTCCCAGCTCCCCCATGTGTAAACATTGATGAAATTCCTTTATCTGTCCTTTATCAGAACACATGTTAGACTAATGGCCAGATGGTGAAAGGCCAGAGAAATTGCTGCTTACAGTTTCTTCTAAACCTCTTACATTTTCTCAGGAGCCATATCTTGAGTTAGTAATTTCCAACTGTAGTCCCGTTGGCCATTAAAAGCTCCTTATTTCTGCCTACCATCTGCCCTGTCAGGAAGAAACATGGAATTTCTGTCTCTCAGCTCCAGAGGAATTTCAGCTCCCCTGCTTCCACCTCAGAAGAAATCACTGCCATTGCCTTTTCATTTCTTCCATTCCCAGTTAGAAACTTTCAGTATAACCTGAGCCAGCAGAGGGCTTCCTCAAGAGATGGTGGGGATCTCTTTATCAGAAAATTCCTTCTCTAAGCTAAATAAACCAGATGGCGATAAGAGAGAAGCTTGCGACTCCTATTCTAATTTAACTCACCTATGAAAGTTGAGACTGTCTGAGGTGCTACAAAGAGAGGCATCTGCATGAATGTACTTTACAGAAGTCGTTGTAACTATCCTTAGAAACAAATTTTCCATTTTTTTTTTTAGTTACAACTGTGAGCCTTTCTCTAGGGTTTTATCCTCTGGCATTGGATAAATGGTTAGATTAGATGATTATAAAGGTACAATTCAACCAATTCCAAGCCTCTGAGTATATTCAGTGATTCTAATATCTGATATCTTCCTATTTTATTTAGGGCCAGACACCAAATTAATGCAGAACAGTGGAAAGTCTACTTTTAAACGAACACAGATAGACCATCTCATGAATGTTCTTGTACTCTGGGTAAGTTAAATACTTTCTTTTTTTTTTTTTTTTTTT